CTATATGGATCAATACACACTGTATGGATCAATACACACTATGTATGGATCAATACACACTATATGGATCAATACACACTCTGTATGGATCAATACACACTATATGGATCAATACACACTATATGGATCAATACACACTCTGTATGGATTAATACACACTGTGTATGGATTAATACACACTGTGTATGGAACAATACATACTATGTATGGAACAATACACACTGTGTATGGAACAATACACACTGTGTATGGAACAATACAGATTTTAAAATTAACTTTATCAACTTGTCTTCTGAAGATGCTCTGTGTTGAAGGATCAGTGGATCTGTGTTCGACTACTCCACCTAGGCTGCATTTTTGAGCACAGATCCACTGAGAAACTTGCTTTTTCAGCAACATTTAATTTAAAAACTGGACTTTTGAGGTTAAACAAATGTTCATAATTAATTTCAATAAATTACAAGTTAATGAGGGCATGGACATTTCTCTTTTTTTTAAAACATCTAACTGGATCATGAATGTTGTGTACGGTTGCAGCCCGACTATAAATGGATGACATTATTTTGCAGATCATGGCKCTCTACAAGCATCACAACCCGGGAGCGTCGGCCCAGCCGTGCTGCGTCCCCCAGGCTCTGGAGCCGCTGCCCATCCTGTACTACGTGGGCCGACAGCACAGGGTACCCACACCTCGTGAGCACAGCTTCACAGAGCTTTACCACCGCAGGAGATTTACAACCGTGTTTTTATTGTTACTTCCAGGTGGACCAGCTGTCCAACATGATCGTGAAGTCCTGCAGGTGTGGCTAAAAAGGACGACGAAGCCCCCCCTCCCCGAGCCGCCTCCTCTGATGGAAGCAGTTGTTTCTGACGCTGCGAAGAGGAGTGAGTGATGAAGAAAAACACACCGGGACAAAAACAGACGTTCAGCTTTTCTCCTGCGACTGATCACACGGGATGAAATCCACCAAGTGGTCATTCTGTACATAAACCCYGCCCCCTTTTTGTTTTTTTGCATATGTCTGCCATGAAATAATTTAATTTATTTGTTCAATGGACAGACAGAGTGAAACTGTGTCGGTTTGACACAGGAAAAATTAACTTTTTTTTGTTAAAAAAAAGGGACAAAACAGCAAAATAAAAGCTCCCAGAGGAGCTGAGAGAAAACCCTTCAGTCTCAGGTGGAGAGCTGTGGTCATGTCGGGGTTTTCCTGGAGAAAAAGGATGCAGGTGATGTGTTCAGGTTACATCGTAAAAAACAAAAACCCCCTCAGAGGGAATGTCCACGCTGGAGCGGACCTGTCCTTTCATTTCTTTTTATGTAAACACTTCCTGTCTGTTAACCTGCTAAAACACCAGGAAGCTGCTTTGTCAACAGGTTAACATTAAAACACAAACATTTATTCTTCTCACCGTCACAAACCACCGTCTCAACAGGAACGCTTTCATTTTAACTCATTTAATTCGACAACTCACATTAACAATAACGTTTTTAAAAGTTTTCATATTTTTATAG